ACACACACACACACACACACACACACACACACACACACACACGGCTCTGTAAAACGCACAGGGCTCAGCAAACCGGTTTGGTCACATGGCAAGCCCAGGCCACTCACAGGATTAGCCTGAGAGCAGCCACTCTGAGGGTCTGTTAGCCTGACTCCCAGAGACTTCTGGGTAACTAACCTTGTTCCAGTTCTACAGCTTTGAGTTCAGGAGGGAGCTAGGGCCAGGCTGCATCAACCAAGGGAGGCCAAGGTGGTAAGAGTGCACCGTCTGTACTATGTCCTGTGGGGTATGACCAGTCAGACCAGAGTGTAGTGCGGTTCTCTTTGACCCTGGCCAGCCAGGCACAGATCCTGGGAGTCCTAGCACAAGCCTAGACTAGTCTATCTGTGGCTATTCCTCAGCCTCTGGGGCCAAGGACAGGCAGCTGAGCTTCCAGAACTCCTAAAGAGATCTTCCTCTCACAATTGTGTGCCTACTGTGGGGAGCCTGGAAGGTTATAGCTCAGTCAGCAGCTCCGACTGCAGCCTTCAGAGAGGTGCACCAGTTGGGTTTCTTCGAGGAGAAGCAGGGTCTGCTCTTCCTACGCATCCAAGCCAACGACCGACCTTTCCCAGTCCGATGGGCTTGCATTTCTGATTTCTTGAGGACCGTTCATTCACACACCAGATAACGACTTAGTGCCTGCTACGTGCCAGTGGTGAGTAGTGATCTTATTTTAAATATGCCTACTTCCTAGCTTCCCCCTCCTATAGCTACCAGGAGGCAAGCGATTAATGTGTAGTTCTCTATCACTGAACACCCAGCGTTAGACTCCAAGCACACAGTTCCATCCCCTGCAACAGCACGTTTCCTGGAATGGGGTCAAGTTCCTTTCTGTCCTGAGGCTTGAAGAACTCCAGAGTGATCTTCTTCCTAGAAGACAATCGGGGCAGAGGACAAAGCTTAGCTCTTGCCTAGGAGACTGAAAGAATGGAGGCTCTCTGGCAAGTTACTGAGACTCAATGTGGTAGTTACATAATCTGTTGTCAATTTGTCAAGCGAAGAGGTGGAATCTAGCCTGCCAGTCAGGTCATAGCCAATGAGGCCTCTGTGCTGGCATGGCCTTCTCCTGAGGATTCTGGGAATTCCTGTCTTCCTCCCTGGAGGCGGGAGACACACACACACACTCTCTCTCTCTCTCAGCTCATTCTCTGGGAGACAATGCAGCTGACAAGACACATGGAACTACTCTAGTGCCCTGAGCTGGAGGAATCACATAGAGACCCAGTGCTGACATGCTTACACCATCACTGAATCCACATGACTTTCCACCCACAGGCCTGTGATCTTCCTTTGCTCAGAATGATTGCATGTGTTTCATGAATCTGAAGACTTTATAGATTGGTATCGGACATATGGGCCGATACCGGACTTATGGACTTGATCTGGCCTGGGATGTTGTCTCAATATTGGTCTTTTATATAAACTCTTCTTATACACTTAGGTGTCTCCATGAATTTGTTGCTCTAGTCAACCCAGACTAACACACTCAAACATGTCATCTAACATATGGAAACAGTAACACCCGGCCCCCAGGGTTGACGGGAAGGTCTGGTGGGGCCAGCTGTGTGGAAGTGCTGTGCAGGTTGGGGGGGGTTGTCTTCCCTCTTGCTGCCCTGGTCTGAGCCCCATCCCTACTGCTCCCGCTTTCTCTGCACTTCACACCTCGGGGCCTGGCTTCTTTCTTTCTCACTGCACTTACACAATAGGCCTGCATCATCCGGATCCTTGCCCCTTCTTTACAGAGAGACGACCTGCCCGGGCAGAGGTAGGGACTTGTTTAAGGTCAACAGAACTGAGAATGGGGTCTGACCCCAAGACCTCCGTCCTCCATCTTCAGCCCAGCATGCTCCGGGATGGTCAGAGCCGTCCTCTGTTCCCTTCCCGCCACCCAGAGGATGGCGATGGCTGGGGCTTTAGCAGTCCCTCCCCAGCCCGACTAGCCACGGAGGTTCTCGGCAGGCAGAGGTCTTCTCCGAGGCCATGGGTGTGGACCGAAAGCTACAACGCCAACACTGGGCTGAGAGATTGATTGCAGAACAAGCTCCTGCAGGAGAGGCCTACAGAGGAGGCTCGCCACAGATCACAATGTCTCCCCAGGCTTACCGACTAAACGGTTTGTGTAGGGCTGTTATTTCAGTCCAGAATCGCTATTTTAAGGGGCAAGACTCCTTGTTTGGGCAGTGTATGCAGCCACAGGTTTTAATGAGCTCTTCCAGTGGGTGAACACACCGCGTTGGGCCACGGGCTTCTGGGATACTTCATGTCACTACTCGGGCCTGCACACAAGCCCCTATTCTCAGTCCGGATCCTGCACTAGGGCTGGGACTGCTATTTGAGGTCACCTAGTGGACACATGTCTGTCAAACCTGTTGAGCCTGGTCTTTCAGGAGGAGGAAGTTTGTGATCTGGAAAACAACGGAGGCACAGATTTTATAGGCTTCATCAGTTATTTGATTTATGATGTCCCATTGTCTGTCCTGCTCCTGTTCCGTCCGTTATGGTCCCCCCGGGCATTGTTTCTGCAGCACATGGTTTCTCCATCCAGTGGCCGCTTCCTGAGTCAATCTAATGTCTCTGCCACTACTGTCCTCATAGCCTCATCCCACGGAGCCTCTCCTTGCTCTTGAAGGACACAGGGGATTGAGAGTTCAAGGGGGGTGGGGGGCTGCAGTGTTCTGGGAGGGGCTTGGGGAGAGGAGAGAAGGATCTGAGGATGACTAAGATCCTCTGAGGAGGGACCAGGGCTTGGTGGGAGTAGGGTCTCAAATTGGGAACGGCGTGCAGGGAGGAATGGCATGGCTGGGCTTGGCATTCCCCACCGCTCCATGGCTGAAAGAGCAGGAAAAACTGTCCTAGGGAAAGGCCAAGGCAGCCCGGGCCAGGGAAGACACACGGGCTGGGCCACAGCTACCAGGAGGCCAGGAGGCGTGGTCCACTGTCTCCTCCCAGCAGGAGGGCTGGACCGTGAACAAACCCAGCCTCCAAACCCAGCCCTGGGCTGTCCCACCCAGAGATCAGGAGAGAGCAGCAAGAGGCCGGGCAGGAGTGGCTGGGAAGGGCCCAGGGAGTTAGAGGCTTCCTAAGCCATACCTGGAAGAAGCTGGTGGTTGTAGAGGGTGGCCCGGGAAGCCTGAGCTGCACTACCAGGGCCTTTCTGTTGGGGCTCCCAGCTGCTGCCTCCAGGAGCCCCACCTAAGGTCTGGCCCCGCTCCCTGGCTAAGCTCCAGGTCCTGAGATTGAATTGGAGGCTGGAACTTCCTGGACAACTCACCCCTGCAGGCAATGGGACCCAGGATGGGTAAGTTTGGACAAAGTGCAGAAGGGGGGACACGGTAGGAGTCCAGGGGCCACCTTCTCTCTGTAGAGGGTGACGGTGAGGGGCCAAAAGAGGCGTGCTGGTTAGGGGATGAGCTCCGAGCTCTGTAGGCAAGGCAGCACGTGCCTGGGGCCCTGTGGGGTGTGGGGGCTCCGTGGGTGAGTGGCCAGAGCTGCTGGAAAGGATGCTGTTGAGCTGGTACCGGGAATCCAGCCCAGCCCTGTTGACAAGACAGCGAGACCAGGAGGTCAGCAGAGAAAGGCAAGCCCCAGAGCCCCCTCTGAAAGAGGCACAGGTAGAGACGACAAGGCAGAGGGAAACCGAGAGTTGCAGGCTGACCCACAAAACAGCTCCAGAGAAAGACCACGACAGAGGGACGGAGGCAGAGAAGAGCGGGATCAACAGGTGTCCCCGAGATAATGCAGGGACCGAGGGGGGAGAGAGAGGCCATGGAAGAGAGAAGGAGAAGAAAAGAGAACCGGGAAAGAGTGCGTGAGACAGACAGAGAATCAGATCACATGGACATGGATCTCCGTGGGCTGAGGAGGAGGCGGAAGAGCAGTGTGCAGACTTCGGGAGAAGCCGGGAGGTCAGGGGTGGAGGGGCACTGGGAGCATGCCCCGCAGTACCCTGTGGGGAAGGCAATGTCCCTGGGAACAGGGGGCCAAGCCCAGCCTTTTTCCTGGGCAGTCAGAGGGTGAGGAGAGAACAAAGCACCCTAAGATGAAGGAGACTAAGGGGTTGATTCCCTGCAGCAAACCCTCAGGGCCCCACGCCCACTCAGGATGGGCCTGGTCAGGCTTCGTGGGCCCAGTGGGTGGAGGGGGAGCTGGAGGATCCTGCCACAGAGTTGGCCCGTGGGGACCGTGGGGATCGAGCCATGGCAGGAAGGGTGGGAGCAGACACTTCCTCTCAGGGGCGCTCACAGGGAAAATGACAATGGGGTCCATTTGGAGCTGAAGCTGGAGGATGGGTCACTGACATGGCGAAGCCCCAGTCAGGCTTGGTGGAGTGTGAGGCAAGTGTTTGGGGACTCTCTGGGTGCTGGGGAGACTAGAGTCTTGCCCTGTACTGTGTCTGAGTCCCGGCCCTCCCCTTGCCATCGCTGATATTCTAGCCTCTGGAATTCTTTCTACTCCGCCCCATGCCCCCACACCTGGGAGGAGGCTGGCCCCATATCTGCCACCTGGGCCACCAGAAATCACCTCTGGCTGAGTCCCAACCAGCCTCACAGCCTCTCCTGCCTCCCTGGTGCCCTTGTTCTGGTCTGAGGTTACTGAGGATATCAGGACACAGGTGGTCCAGCACACAGAGCCTGGAGCCAGGGAAGGGTCCTGGGTCTGGCTCGAAAGGAAGAGGGGCCTGCAGTTCCAGCCAGGGGTGGATGGCAGAGAGAGAAGTTCAGGTCAGACCTGGCTCTCGGCTGAGCACCATGCAACTTGTTTGTAGGCGATAAGCAGACACTTCCATGTCTGTGCAGAGGGGGTTTGGAGCAAGCGATGTCCTCTGGCCCTTCCCAGTCTGTGGTCAGACTCCCTCCCTGCCCACCCACCCTCTGCACCTTCGTTCAGCATCCCCTGCGCCTTTACCTTCTGCCGAATGGTGCTGTGTTCCAGCATGTCCTTTCAAGGGCCAGTGCCTCCAGAGAGATTCCCTGACTGATTCTCCCGCTGGAAGGGCCTCCCTGGGCTGCTGGCTGCTCTCTGAGGGCTTTCGGTCTTGCCTGGTGCTGTGTCTGATGTGCTCTCTAGCCCTTCTGTGTAGGAGTGTGCGCTGCTCCAGAGCAGAGAGGTGGGCAAGGGGGAGAGCCGGCAGGGCTAGCTTCCCAGCCCAGTGCTGTTCCCGTGGATGCAGAGAAAGGTTCTCATGGATGAGGAAATAGATGCCGAGAGGCCACCCTGCAGTGAGCAGCAGAGTCAGGGGTCCGAGCCCAGGCCTGCCCGATGCCACAGCTCTTCCCCCGCTGGTGAGCCCCCACCCACCTGGAGCAGTTCCCCACCGACATCGAACAAAGCAGGACCTTGTGCGGATGCTGGTGGCTGGGGAGTGGGCGGGAGGAGTTATTTCTCATGTTGTGAACCCACTGGGCTGCCAGCGCTGCCTGTGCAGATACTGTTGACCCAGAAGGACTTTCCACCCTCCAGGAGCTCCCAGGGGAACCAAAAGTGTGGATAAAACAAAGCCGGAGATAGCCAAAACCAAAGCTCTAGGAATTGATGCAGTGCCCATTGAAATATTTCAACAAACTGGTGAAGCAGCAGAAGGACCCACTGGTCTATGCCAGGAAACTTGGAAGATAGCTAGTTGGCCAACCAACTGTAAGAGACCCATATTTGTATCCTTTCTAAAGAAAGATAACCTAACAGAATGCATATTATAGAAGAATATCATTGCTATCATATGCAAGTAAGTTTTTGATGAAGATCACCCAACAACAGTTGCAGCAATGCATTGACAAGGATCTGCCAGAGGTTCACACCAGATTCAGAAGAGGACTTCAAACACAGAACATTATTTTTGATGTCAAGTGGATGTTGGCTCAAAGTAGAGAATATCAGAAAGATGTTTACTTGTGTTTCATCAACTATGCAAAGACATTTGGCTGTGTGGATCATAAAAATAAAATTTGGATAGCTTGAGAAAATTGGGATTTCCAGAAAACTACATTGTGCTCATGTGGATCCTCTATATTAATCAAAAGTCAATTGTGCAAACAGAACAAGGGAACACTGCATGGTTTAAAATCAAGAAAGGTTTAAATCAGGTTTGTTTCTTCTCACAAAACTTGTTCAGTTTGTATTTGGAGAAAACTATCAGAGAAGATGAAATATATGAAGAAGAATGCAATATCAGGATTGGAGGAAGGCTTATTAACAACCTGAGACATACAGGTGACACAATTTTGCTTGTTGTTAGTGAAGAAGACTTGAAGCACTTGCTGATGAAGATTGGGGATTGCAGCCTTCAGTAAGGATGACAACTCAATATAAAGAAAATAAAAATCCTAACAACTGGACCATTAGGTAGTAACATAATAAACTGAGATGGAACTCATGGATTTAAAAAAAAAAAAAAAAAAACAAAGCCGGAGAAACAGGGGCCGGCACTGAGGAGGGCATGCTCCACGCCAGCTGGAGGGGTGGTAATAAGGCTGCAGTAGGGTGGGCATGCCAGGTGACGAGATGGCATTTGCAAGGACTTGGAGAAGTGACTGGGCCTGTCATGTCTTGGGGAAGAGTGAGCTGCCCTCTTGGGTGAGAGCAGAGGGGCCATTAGGCCGAACCTGGAGGAGGGAAGCGCAAGAGACTGCTGAGTCTGGATACAAGGAGCTTCTAGGGCAGGTCAAGGCTCATGGACTGTCTTGGAGGTAGCTGGGCGAGACGGAAGGTACTTGAGACAGAGTGGTCCTACTTCAGTGGGCCCAGATAATCTGTCCCAGGAGCACTCATAACCTTGGCCGTGGGTTTCTGCATTCAGAGCTTGAATTCTGAGCACCCTGGCTTGCAAAAGGCTATGGATGGCAAGTGGCAGCCCCCAATCCGTTTGCAGAGTCCCCACATGAATGAAACCTCCAGTGAAGGATTTCTGATCACTCATCAAAGATGCAGGTCATCTTACCCTCAGGCAGAGGGCCTTGGAGAGTGGGCTGACTGCCTCTACCCCTCTCTGGTCAGCCAGGTTGTTGGTGGTCTCCCTCATCTGGACAATGTGTCGGTGTCTCCATCTCTCTAAATTGTACTTGAAACGGGGTCTCTGGTCCCCGAAAGCAATGTAGCACCTTATGATTATGAAGCACTCTGCCATTCATTTTATAAATGGGGAAACCATTACCTGTCCCAGGCCAGGTAGCCAGAGAGTGGCAAGTCAGGACTCGGAACTCAAGCCCATGACACACACCCCCTTCCCCTGCCCCCTGCACCCACCCAGAGCCAGGGCCCTTCCTGCTCTCCCACTGCTGGCTTCTCTCCCCTCTTACTGGGCAAGTCTGACCCTTAGGTTCTTGCTTGAGGCC